TTTCTGAAGACAGCTCTCTGGTTTCTCCTGGACCTTCCACTCCACCGCTCAGCTGGAAGTGTGGAATAATTTCCAAGACCAAGTTGAGTTAAAAGTGAGCAGCAGCTGTTCAGACAAATCACATGTGGGCAGTCTGCAAATTTCGCAGCCATTTGCTATCCATGGGGTCCCAAAGCCTTTGTGCATCCCCCCTCCCTTCCCCAGAAAGCACTGAGTCCCAGCCAAGTGCCAGGTTGGGACCCCTGGCAGCCTCCCCAGGGCACCAGACAGATGGCAAGGCAGATGCCCTGAGGTGACCCACCAGCTCCTGGGGGGACCCACAACCCCCAAAATGCACACAGGTATCCAGGGGAGAGTACCCCAGCTCCCGACCAGAATAGCTTACTTTGCTATTTTGTTCTAGGAAACTGAGTTCCTTTTCCCCCTTTACAGAGTCAATATTGCCATATGTTAAATTTCAATTAGTTAGACTTGGTTACTCAAAAGAAATAAGAAAAGCTCTACAAGAACCCCAGTTATAAGATATTAAGGAAATACAAGCATCTCATTCTTCAGATCAGAGGGCTTTAATAATAATGACAAAAAAAACCAGTATGAAACTAGATTAAATCTGCTGTTTTTATTCACCAGATAATTTGATCAAGAGCCTGCCAATGCAGGTCTCTAGTGCTGTGGTAAGTAAATACAAACATACTACTTTCAGATCACAAAGTTTTAGTGGAATGATCAAGAGCAAATGAAATCAAAGCTATTTTCCACACCAGACAAATTCCAATTAAATTAGGCCAGATTATTTAATAAGGAAGCCTACAAAACTCCAGCTCTTTATTGATGTAATGATACAGAAATATAAACTTGTTGCTTTCCAGATCACAGCATTTAAATGCAGGGGAGGAATTAAGACTTCAGTAAAACTGGTTTAATTTAAATTCTGGTGAAAGTGAACACAGTTTTCCTTATCATCATCATCCTGACTTCTTACTGAGTGTCCAGCAGCAGCCTTCAGCCTTGCTCTCTTCCCTGGCTGTGACTCCTCAAGGAGCCCAGTACTTTACTGGATGAGGGGACCCAAGTTTCCAGTATCCATAGCAAGCCAAGTTTGGAAAGGAACTGGCCAAGAAAACCCCAGCAACATTTCCTGATGTATCCTTAGTGATAAATCCTTCTCCCATGTAAGAAATCTGTCCCATGCCTGGAATCCTTCTCTACCTTCCAGGTGAGCAAACAGCTTTTTTTTTCCTTTCCAAGAAGAAAACTCATGGATTTGGGCTTGGGGTACAAGAAAGGTTAGGGACAAATGGTTATGCAAAGGCAGATGGGTGTGTCAGAAGACTTCAAATGCTCAGTGCAATCAACTTACCTGCAGCTGCTAATAGGCAGAAGGGTACAAATTATTTTATTAAAGCTGGAAAAAGCAGAACTCCTGATATTTTATTCCCGAGGAAGATTTATCACACCCTATTTTCAGTGGATCACTGAATTAAGATTCAAGTTTATTTATCCCCTTCATCTGAGGAGGCCCCAGTGCCTCCAGGCTGTCTCAACACTGAATACCCACCTCCAAGGATTTTGTTCCCTTTTCAGAAGGTTTTGCTGACAATAGGGAATTTCAGTGCAGATTCCCAGCCTGTCAAAACAGCAGTCCAGGGAGAGGATCTCTGGGAAGCCTGGGCACTGCTGCAAGAGCAGGGAGAAGTCTTGCTTCCTGCATCATCTGGAATGTGGGTCTGAGCTTCCAAATTGAAAAATAAGTTCCCCAAAGGTTCCGTAAATTCCAGTGAGTGTTATTGTTATACATTTATTCTTCTTCTTCTGTATTTCTACTGTCAGGTAATATTAAATGAGACCAGGAGGCTCCTGAAGACTTTGAGAGCAGAATTGCTAATGAAGATCCCTTGGGAGATATGAAAATGGTATGGAAGATTTTGAAGCAGCAGAGGGGGGAAAGCCAAGTGACCCAAGGAGGTTAATGTGCCTCCTTCCCCCTCCCTTTTGCAGAATGGAGAGGAAAGGGTAAAACCCTCTGGGAATCTGCACCAAATCCAGGTCATCTGCTCTGCAAAACACTGATGTATTCACCTGCAGAGAGGTCACAGACATACCCAGAGCAGCAACGCTCCAAAGGCTTCTCTGCACTCCAGCAGAAACAGGCAGGGAATCAAGATGTGTGGTTGCAATCAAATTATCCATTCAAGGAAATAACAATAAATGCTGAACTTCCCAATTACGGGACACACAAACCTTGGAAACCATTAAGAACAGCTTCTTCTGCTGATGAATTATCCAGAGTGCACAGAGCTATTTGCTGAGCTTCACTGTATTATGCTAATTATAAATTAATATATTACTCATTACACAGGCTCAGGCTCTGCAGTCAACTAATGCACTGCTGCAAAGAGCCTGTTTTCAAACATCCTCTGGTACTTTTATGATCTAGATGTTTAATTTATTTCTGTTCTGGCTTAAATGCCACCAACATGTCATTCTTTCACAAAGAAATATCCCTGGCTCCATCCTACCTCCACTGGGGCTCAGCAACATAGATGAAAGATGAAACTTAGAAAGGCTTTTTCAATGCTCAGCAGTTGCATGAAAATTTAACTAAAACAGCGTAATTTAAGACTAATTCCTATGTTACTAATTTGTAAATGGTTTATCATGGCAGCATGCTGGAGTGCTTCACCTGAAGCTGTGCCCCTGGAAGGTGAGCACCTGACACCTCCATGCTCAGGGAGGGAACTTTGGGTGAGATGAGGAGACAGGGAAAACAGGAGCATCCCAGGCAAGACTCCCAGAGGGATGGGAAGGGTGAAGGACAGAGCTGCTGGTATCCAAAGTGGCTGTTTACTGGCGCTGGCCTCCACTGCACTCTTAGTCTGACTCAGTCTACAGCATCTGCATCCCCGGGCCTTGTGCCAGGCATCCTTGTGAAGAAGAAAATCAGCCTCAAAGACAAAGATAAAACTTCACATGGATCTGTCAGGCAGGATGAATAGGAGGAAATGGAGCCCTCTTTATTGGAAAACAGTCTTTAGCACCGCATTGTTTCATGGAGCATTCCTGCAGGAACATGTTAATTTGTCAGACCATTCTTTCCATGCCGTGCTCAACATAATGGAAATAAATACAGCAGGGTCACAGAAGTCAGTCTGGAAACTGCCAATTCCTTCTTTCCAAGGAAAGCATCCTGGTGACTCAGCAGTATGGAGCAGTCCCACAGTGGGGAGACACATTCACTGGAGAATCCAGTGATTTTCAGCCTTAGTAACACGATGGTATTGCGCTCAGAATACCTTAGAGCACCCCATGTGTGACCAGCAGCTGGACAGGGATGCTGTGAGGGGAAAAGAGGACCCGTGAATGCTGGAGAGGAACTAGAGGGGTGCTGGCCTCAGGCTGGAATGGTTGGTTTGGAAGAGATCTTAAAGATCACCTAGTTCCAGCTGCCCACCACAGGCAGGGATGCTGCCCACTAGATCAGGTCCTGAAGGGTACTGAAAGAGCTTTAAAGTGCACTTAAGACCTTAAATCTTGGGATTAGCAGGTGGGAATATAAGTACCATGGGAATATAAGTACCATGGAGTCATTTCTGTACAGTTTGAAGACCTCTGGCTGAAGATGGCTAAAGACTGGAGGGCTTCTCAGTGCTGCTTCTGCTTGAAATTTACAATGCAAAAGCCCCATGGTGACAGGAGTAAGTGGTTGCTCTGTGAAACTGAGGCACTGGGGCACACAAATTTCAAGAAACAGCCTCAATTTTCCTTCACAGTAGGCAAGTACTGTGGTTTTGAATTTTTTTTTTTTTTTTTATTTTTTTTTCTGAGCCCAGAGGCAGGGGGGTCAGGCTGTGCAAGCGATGGTGTTTACGCTGGCGACTCTTCCCCTCCCAGCCAGGGAGGATATGTTATACTGGATCAGCTAAATCCGCATCCTGCTCACGCTGGAGCGCAGCATCCTGGGCGCGAGGGAGGGAGAGGTTCGGCTTTCAGCTCTCTCACGGTACGTCCCTGCTCCTCCGCAGGCTGCTGGTTATTAATAGCCCGGAATGGCCGCGCGTGGGCTGACGAGCGCGACAGGGGTGACAAAGCTCCTGGCGCTGGATGGGGATGTTGTCCCGGGTAGGCGGCTCTGCTGGAGGCTTGGGACGATCCAGTTAGGAAAGTCATCTGTCGGCAAAATGCGTGGACAGGGAGAGCCTGTCCCCCCACAGCCCCACCTCCAGCGGGAAAAGACTTTCCCAGAGCATTTTCTGCGCCGGGACGGCTCGTATTTCTCGGGGCTCCCGGCGAGGTGCCGCGTCCCTCCTCGCGAGAGCCCGACCTCCACCCGGCCGCAGGATACCGGCAGGGTTCATTACCCGGGAGGGTTCGTTCTCCGCCGGCCGCGGGATACCGGCAGGGTTCATTACCCGGGAGGGTTCGTTCTCCGCCGGCCGCGGGATACCGGCAGGGTTCATTACCCGGGAGAGCTCGTTCTCCGCCGGCCGCGGGATACCGGCAGGGTTCATTACCCGGGAGGGTTCGTTCTCCGCCGGCCGCAGGATACCGGCAGGGTTCATTACCCGGGAGAGCTCGTTCTCCGCCGGCCGCAGGATACCGGCGGGTGATGCTCGTACGCGCTGCGGTGCTGAGCTGCCCGCCTGCTTCCCCCCCTCCCCCTCGCACCGCGGCGGGGCGGGAGGCGGGGCGGGGCGGGCTCGGCTCGGTTTGGCTCGGTTTGGCTCCGCTCGGCTCGGTTTGGCTCGGTTTGGCTCCGCTCGGCCGAGCTCGGGATGCTGCTGCGGGTGCGCGCCGCCGTGGCGCAGCTGGCGGCGGGGCTGGGCGCGCAGCCCCCCGCTGAACCCCGGGGCGGCGGGGCCGGAGCCGGGGCCGGTCGGGGGTCGCCGCCGCCAGCCGCGTTCTGCCGGCCGGCCTTCCTCCAGCTGACTCCCGAGGAGCTGCGCCGCGCCGACGACCACACGGGGCGGGCGGTGCAGAGTCCCCGCGACGGCCGCCGCCGCCTGCCCTGGAGCACGGGATACGCGGAGTGAGCGGGGCCGGGAGCGGGGCCGCGGTTTGCAGCCTGGGGAGGGCAGGATGGCACCGCTCGGCACTGGAGCGGGGACCTCGGGGACGAAAGTGGGTCGCGGCGGGCGGGGAGCTGCGTCTGTCCCTTTTCCAGCCGCAGCAGCGAGGAGCGGGCGCTGTGGATGCTCGTGATGGGAGAGCATCAGCGAGTTCTGCGCTCTTACCGACCCCGAAGGGTTTAGGCTCTTCTGTCCGTTTTGTTTTCTGCGCTTTCTGCACAGCACCCGCTGTGACCGAAGGGTACCGAGGGCGAAGGAGCTGCGGCGCCTTTGGCAGGACTCGGGGGGAGCAGGGAGCCGGGGCTTTCCTGGGAGTGACCCTGCTTGAGACTTCCCCTTCAAGGACCTGATTGTCTTCTTTCACTAGCTGCGAGTTTCAGCCCTAACTGAAAGCGGACGGGAAGATCAGACTTTGAAGGCTTTTGCTGCTTAGTGCTGTCAGCTCACTCCCGCATTCCTTCCTCGAGCTGATCTTCCCGATATCCTAGAGAGCTTTATGAGATGTTGATTTACCCCGGGAGATCGTGGGGTAGGAGTACCCAGAGTGAGAAAAATCCCCTTTTTTGGTGTCCCAAGAGTTCTTTCTGCAAACCACTTGGAAAGTCTGCCCAAAGAAAAATCACCCTGCTGTGTTTACAGCTTCTTCCTATAAGCAGGTTCTGCAATCCAGACCTGAAATCTGCTGTGTCAGCACAGGCTAGGAAAAATCAGTGTGAATCTTTTTGCAAAAGTTCTACTGGTTTCATCATCATCACCTTCTCCTCTCCTTCCCTGAGCCCCCTGCTCCCCACAAGAGGTTATGGCACATGGGTGAGGCTGTGATTCTCCCTGTGTCCCAGGCATGTATATTTAAGACTGATGAAGGTTTTGGGACAATTTTTCTGCCTGGGGCAGTGCTAGAGACCTTCAGCAAACCCAGTTTTTTTCTGGTCACCTCCCTTGGCGCGTGGACAACTGTTCCCCCCTGGACCCTGCTATGGGTGGGATTCAATGTTGCTCCTGGCCCCAGATCAACCCACACAACTGGTCTGGGACACCTGGGACAGGACAGGGCAGGAGCACCTGTGCAGGGCATCCCTGACACCCCTGGGGACATCCCTGGGGACTTGGGGACATGAGTTGGGGTTGGGGGGAGGAGGTGCTGCAGGATGCCATTTACTGGAACATGATAAGTGAAAGAAAGGGCCTTTACACCTGTTTTCCTTCTGGCAGGGTGATAAATGCAGGGAAGAGCCAGCACAATGAGGACCAGGCATGCTGTGAGGTGGTGTTTGTGGAGCAGAGGCCCAGCCCAAGGGGCCGGCTGCCATCCAGGGAAGGCAGCGGGGAGCTGGATGGGGTGAGAGCTGTGGTGGTTCACAACAGGGAAGATGCCCAGCAGCAGGGCATGAGACGGGACACACGGCAATGTGTGCACACTGTGGATTCCCTCGCTTTGTGGCCCTTCCCTCTGCCTGCTCCTACCACCCTCCATCCCCACGTGACTACACCAGGGCTGGCTGGCCCAGGGCGACCAGTGGCCCACGTGCCCTGGTGGGCTGCAGGGGTGGCTGCTGGCTGTGCTGGTGCCGTGGTGCCTCCCCTTTGGAGGCTGCTGGAGGCACGAGGTGTCTGATGCAGGGCTGGGCTTCAGTCAGGGATCAGCTGTGTCCAGACACCCTTGGTCAGCTGCCCACAGTGTTCCTGCTTTCACTGAGACCTGTGAGACTCGTGTCACTGTCCTCAGCCGGTGGCCCCAGCTACTCTGAATTCCCCATCCCATCTGCTTCCTTGCAAGCTCATTTAACCTTCCCTCTTCTCCCTGCAGGGCAAGAAAGGTTTTTATTTCCACTACTGGGCCTTGTTCGATGGTCATGCGGGCAGCGGTGCTGCTGTCATGGCATCCCAGAGGCTCCACCTGCACATCTGTGAGCAGCTCCGGGACCTCGTGGAGATCCTGCAGGACCCCTCCCCACCTCCCGTCTGCCTCCCGCACGGCACAAAGACCGGTCCTGCAGATCCAAACCACGTGGCCTACACGGAGGACTGTGGGGAGCTGCCAAACGATGCTGCGCCACGGTTTCACCTGGAGAAGGCAGTGTCCCACGAGAGCCTGGTGATCGGTGCCATTGAGAATGCCTTTAAGCACATGGTGAGGATCCCCTGCCTGTGGGATCATCTAGGGCATCCCCTGGGAGCATCTCTTTGCTGGCCGTGTCTGACTGACCCCACTGGTAAAAAGCAGCTCTGCAGCAAGGAGGGGACTGCAGGGAGGGCTCCAAGCATAATGATCTCAGGGAGGGCTCTGTAATGCTCCACATTTTGAGCTTTCAGAATGCACAGGCTTTGAGCTCCAGGCCTGTGTGGGTGCAGAAAGCTTCACTGCACCTTTTTCCAGGAGGACCACCTGCTCCCCTCCTGTCTTCCTCTCTCCTGCCTGTCCCACTGCCCCAGTGACGCCACATCCCTGGCTGCCCCACGCAACCCCTGGCCTTCCAAGCCCTACAGCCACTCTGTGGCTGTGTGGGGAAAGGTACCCTGGCTGGTCACTGCTTCCCACCTGGAGCTGAGGTGCTGCTGGTGCAGCCAGGTGCTATTTGGGGCTGCCCACCTACCCTGTAGCCTCTCTGTCTCCCCAGGACGACCAGATCGAGCGGGAGCGGGCATCCCAGCACCTGGCCGGGGGGTGCTGTGCCCTCGCTGCCATCTACCTCATGGGCAAGTTCTACGTGGCCAACGCTGGTGACAGCAGGTACAGCCCCACAGGACAGCCCTCACCTTTTGCTCAGTGACTGGGGACACCCCAGTAGAGTGGGGTGGTGCCAGAAGGATGGCTGGTGAGGAACCCAGCTCCATCCCTCTCTAGGGGAGGGTGAAGGTGGCAGAACTGGGCAGAGTCATCCCCTGCCTGTTTCATGCCCCAGGGACAATGTACCCTGCTGTGATCTCTGCGTTTGCCAGGTGCACAAATAGGGCTGTAGAATTGCCTCCCAAAATCTGGGATGTGCTCCCTTTCTTCCTAACAACATTCTCTCTGCTACCCAGACGGCTCTGGATCACACCCTGGCCCCTGCTGCTGGCACTGGCCTGGGCTGCAGGTTGGAGAGTGAAAACTGTGTTCAGGAAAGCTTTCAAAATATGCAAGAAGTCATTTAGAGTCCACTTTATAGCAGTGAGCTGTTTCAGGAGAACGACACAAATCTATGTGCAGATAAGTGCAGTGGAAGCTCTTATGGCAATTTTAATTGCCATATGTATTTCCAGAGGTGGGCTACTGGAACTGCACCCCTGTGGGCCCACACCTCCGAGCAATGGCAGAAGGGCAGGTCCACCTTACACTAAAGGTGACACTGCAGGTGAAGCTGGTTTGAACTGCTCTGTATTTATCATTGGATCAAAGAATGCTTTGGGTAGGAAAGGACCTTAAAGCTCATCTTTTTCCACCCCTTGCCATTTGCAGACACCTTCCACTAGACCTGTCTGACCTGGCCTTGAACATTTCTGAGAATGGGGCAGCTACAGTTGCTCTGGGTTACTAGAGGTCTACTGCAGGTTACCTTGTCCTCAGCAATGTCAGACCAGCTAATGCAGGCTCTGGTCAATGTTTTGAGGCTGGATGTGCTTCCAGCTCTGGGACAAAGAAGGAGACCCCTCATACCTCTGCTTTTGGGTGCAGGTCCCCCTCCATGGCAGCAGCGGCCAGGCACCAGCCATGCAGGATGTCAGCGTGCACAGGTCCTGAGGCTGTAACTGTGCCTCTGGGTAACAGTCTGTGTTACCTTCTCAGGTATCAGACACTTCCAGAGATGAGCTCAGCCTGGCCTTAAATCTTTGGAGGCAACTCACATCCACCAGTGCTGTAGATCCTTGGGCCTACCATGACATCCAGAAACATCTCATAATCAGACTTTAATGTGTTTTTGAGACATTAAACTGTAAGAGCAGCCCCAGCAGCCAGTGGTAGTGCTGGTGTGGGATGGGCACGTACACCTGTGTCTTGCTGTAGGCAATTTCTGCCCCTGCTGTGTGCAGCTCCCCTCTAAAGGAGGGTGCCCCACCTTTGTGCTGCTCCTTTTCTAACCATATCCTGTTCATTGATTTGGTCTGCTTCATTCTCCCCTGCCCCATGCTTCTCTCTCATCTCCCTTCCTTCCTGCCCCTCTCCTGCACAGGAGGGATGCCGTGCCCTGCCCAGGGGGACACTGAATCCAGCCCCCACCTCGGGCTGGGAAAAGGGTGGGCAGCAGAGGGAAAGGGTTGCACCACTCCTGGGAATAAGCTCTGGAAAGCCAGGCTCAGCTCCTCCACCAAGTCTTCTTCTCTCTAATCTCATCCTTCCATGTTTCATTGCAGGGCCATTATCATCCGTAATGGGGAAATCATTCCAATGTCCAGGGAGTTTACTCCAGAGACAGAAAGGCAGAGGCTGCAGTTTTTAGTAAGAAAGACCTTTCTTCTAACCTCCTTCCTGCTGAAACACCTCCAGGCGTCTTCCCAGTCCCCTGTGCTGCCTGTTGGGCTGCTGCCATGGTGGGGTTCTGGACTCAAGGGCAGCCCCATGGCTGGGACCTGCTGTTGGCACCTGTCCATCCCAGACTGCTCCCTGGGACAGGAAGAGGCACTGGGATGCAGGGAGCTGGCATGGGGATGTCTTGTGGCTGGCAGAAGCCTGGTTTGCTGTGGGCTCAGTGTCAGGGTCTGTGACTGCAAGCCTGGCACAACCAGGACATGGAGAGGCCAGGCTTTTGGCATGGGGCTGGATTGGTACGTTTGCATGGAGCCAGTTTGGTCTATCTTGCCCTGTTGCTGTCCAGGGAACAAGAAGCGTCCCTTGCCCAGGCTGCTGTGACCTGGAGGAGCACAGCTCTGCTCCCTCTGTGCACCCTGCTCCCTTTCACTGTCAGAGGAGCTGCAGTGCTCCTGCTCAGTCCTAGTTTCTTCCCTGGCTGCTCCCTGGAGAGTCAGAGCTGATGTGTGCCAACGGGTTTCTGTCCTTCGCCCTGAAAGCTCCCTGTCCCTCTCTTGGATGAACCCCCGGTGCCACTCAGAGAGACTCTTTAAGGTTATAAAGACCTCTCTGAGAGCAGCACAAGGGAGGAGTTTGTGTTGGAGAAGGTCTTGGTGGATGAAATTCCCTGGCTTGCAATGTACTTGGAAAAACACTGAGGTGTTTTCTCTTGAATCTATTTTTGAATGACCGAGAGGAGGAAGCTGCTGTGATCAGAATCCTTCCAGCTGGCTGCGAGGGGCAGGGTGCAGGCTGGGGACAGGCACACGCTGCTCTGCCACGTGAAGCTGTGGTCAGGGCTCCCCCAGAGTGGGCCGGGAGTCTCCATGCCTCTGCACCAACATCCTGCCACTCCATCTTCCCAAGGGATCTCCTCTTCTCTCCCTGCTTTTCTTTCCCCTTCGGCATTTTCCAACACTCCCTGCTCCCAGTTCCCTCCACACTGTTCTCCATGAGAGCTTGGGGCTGCCCTGGGGAGGGCCCTGTGCTGCTGCTCATCCCTTGTCACGGTCACAGCTGGGACACTGTTTCAGAAAAGACCTATCACTCTTTTCCTTGGGTGAGTGTCATGCCCTGCGCTGAGCCTGGGACCCTGAGAGGTTTGCAGCTATGACTCCTTCTGGGTAAATTCCAGCTTCTCCTGGAATTTGCTGGGGTTTGATTGTTTGATCCCTTTCAGAGATCTTTATTTCCCAAAACTCTTGATGCAAAAGCTTCACCTTCTTGCTGAGTGCTGCATGGCTGTCCTCAGCTCCAGTTTCCCCTCTGGCTTAGCACAGCTGGGTGGTTTGAAGCTGCTTTGCCAGCACCCATTCAAGTGGCTCAAGAGCGGCCGATGTTATCCTACCACAGAATGTTGTAGCCAAAGTCACAGTGGATGGTGGATCCTGATCTGGGCAGGGCTGGGTCCACAGAGCCCACTCTCCCAGCCCTGTGGCTGAGCTGACCCTTCTTCCTGCAGGCATTGCTAAGGCCCGAGCTGCTGGGGAAGGAGTTCACCCACCTGGAGTTCCCCCGCAGGATCCAGCCCAAGGAGCTGGGGAAGAAGATGCTCTACAGGGACCAGAACATGAATGGCTGGTAACCCCCAACCCGCTGGTGGCACTGGGGTCCTGCTCTGGTGGCTGCTCATCTCTGGCATCCCATCCCACGGGGCAGGGGGCTCTGGCACTCTGGGTACCCAGGTCTCAAGTGGTCAGTGGAGGTGCTGGAATCCTTCACCTGCTGACATCTTGTCTCTGGCTTATTTTAACCAGGGCTTACAAAAAGATAGAAGAAGATGACCTGAAGTTCCCACTTATCTTTGGGGAAGGCAAAAAGGTAAAGTACTGAAGAAGCAGAAGTGTGGCTGAGGTTGTTCCCTGCCTGCTCTCACTATTTTGGGGGATTTCAGCCCCTTTTTGGTGGTGCTGTCATCACCAATTCTCAGCTGGGAATGGAGCTAGAGATAAAGCTGCTTAAAATTCTCTTTTGATTTCCCCATTCTTCAGGCTCGGATGATGGCCACAATTGGGGTCACGAGAGGCCTGGGAGACCACGACCTCAAGGTGTTCAGCTCCAACATCCACATCAAGCCTTTCCTGTCCTGCTTCCCAGAGGTAAGCCTGGCTGCCGGCCGCTTCCACCCAGGGGTTCCTGCAATGGCCAGAGCCACTCGGCAGGACCAGATCCCTGAGTGCAGCAGGAGCCTCCTGTGCCTCTCACCCTTGCATCTTTCCCTGTCGCCTGCCAGGTCAGGGTTTATGACCTCACGCAGTATGAGCACTGCCCTGATGATGTTCTGGTGCTGGGCACTGATGGGCTCTGGGATGTCACCAATGACAAGGAGGTGGCTGGTGTGGTGATGGAGGTGCTGACGAGCTATGAGCCCAACGACCCGTGCAGGTGAGCTGCCAGTGGGCAGGGAGATGGGCATGTTGTGCACTCCACTACCTGCTCTTGGCCTGGCTCCTCAGAGCAGTGGTGTGGCCACGCATCCCTCTGGGCTCCACGGTGTGCATTGTTCCCCTGGATGTGCATATCTGAGCCCTTGGATCTCTCCAAGGGACCATTTCCTGCACCTCTAGCTTCTCTCTCCTTGCCAGGATGCTGCATCAGCAGGTTTGGGGTCACTGCTGAGCTGTGCTCTCCTGTGCCTCCAGGTACACCATGGTGGCCCAGGAGCTGGTGGTGCGGTCACGAGGGGTGCTGAAGGAGCGGGGCTGGCGGCTGGCCAACGACAGACTGGGCTCTGGTGATGACATCTCTGTTTTTGTAATCCCCCTGGGTGGTCCTGGCAACTACACGTGATGCTGAAGGAGCCTGGGGCAGCAGGGCTCACCTTGCCTGGATGGAGATGATTGCTGATGCTGCCTCAGGGCCACTCCTCCTCTAAGCACTTGTTTTTTGAGCCAGCTGAAAGAAGAGTAAGAAACCTGGAGCCTCAGTCTGTGCTCCTGTCCAGAGCATCCCCCTCCACCTGCTTGCATCCCACTCCCAGGTGGAGACAGAGAGGCCTTGGATAGAGAGTGAATGCTGGGGTTGAGGGGTGTTTTTATGCTGCTACTTTCTCAATGCTGTGAAAAGCTTGAAGGCTCCTTGGTTCCTCGGCATGTCCTTTGCCTCTTGCCATGGCTGTGCTGACTGTGTGACAGCCTGGGAGCTGCTGGGGCACTCACACCTGCTGCAGTCACCCCCTGTCTCCTGCCCTGTGATGCTTTGGCCAGTGACACTGAAGCTGCTGCTGGAGCTGGGGCTCAGATGGGATTAAATTAATGGGAGCAAAGTCCCATGGGTAGCTGGGCAATACTCAGTCTGGCACAAGTTCATTTGTGACCCCACATAGCCATCCCAGCCTTGTGATCCCAATTTTCAGCCCCTCACACCTTGATTCTGTCATGGACCTTGTCTCAGTCTCCAGTCTGGGAGACTGGAGCAGTGACCAAGCTCTGCCATGCACCCAGAGCCCTGAGGAGGGATAAGCCATTGCGCTGGCACTGGCTGTGCCACAGGTTCCATCCCCATCCTCTCAGGCCTTGGATCACTGCAGTGCTTCTGGAGCCAATTATTTATTAACTGGAGAGCTGAGCTGGAAAGTTTCTAAATCCTTTCTTGGTGTGGGGAGTCTATGAATGTATGTCTATATTTTGGAGTGGTTCTGAGTTAGCAGCCTCACACAGAGCAGCCCTATTCAGGTGAGCTTAACAGCTTAACTGCACTGGATCTGCTTAGCCCAGAGCTCGGAACCCACAGTAAAAGCAGCTTGGTGTGACCAGGGCAGGGAAAGACAGCTCCCATGTTTTCCTTAATGATCTCAGAAGTGGTGCAGAGGGGAACTGGAGCAGTTGATCTCTGCACAGGATTTTTGCATCACACACATCTCTGACCTGCAGCATCCATTTCCACTCTGCAGTGTTGCATCCTCCTAAAGTGCGAGGGATTGTCTCATTCTGGCAGTGTGGGGATGGGAAGAGCTGGGCCACGGTCCCTTGTTTGGGAAAGGTTCCATGGCACCAGTAGTTTGTGTCCTGTCACTGGGTGCAGCCAGCTCTTGTCAAGTGTCACCTCTGGTGAATGTTGTTTGTCTCCTGTAACCAGTGAGATGTAAATAAACTGGGTGCACACAATGGAAGGAGAAGGTTATGCACGAGATTTGAACCTGTTGGCATCCACGCTGAAGGGAGCAGGAAGTGGTGCTGGGGCTGGGAGCCTGTCCTTGTGTAACTGTGTGTTTAAATAAAGATTCTGCCACTCGCAGTCCTACTTCAAAGTCTTTCTTTGCAGAGCTCCTGCAAAGAAGACTTACTGAAAAGCCAATTAGCTCTGATTAATTTATGTAGGCAGGCAAACAGGCCTGCGCAGAGCCACGTGAGCCGCTGTCCATCTGCCCTTGGCACTGGTCAGAGCCCCTGGAGTATCCATCCAGCACCCGTGGGGATGGGAACCACTGGTGTGCTGCCTGGGGGTCTTGGATCCCTGGCTCTGGCTGGGAGGCAGCAGCAATGGCCAGTCTGGTCAAGGAACAGGAACATTACACGCAGAATGGAAGGGAGAAAAGGCTTATGGTTTTCCTGTCTGTGGGGGAGGGAGTGGGGCAGGCTGTGGCTCCAAGGAATCCGCCTGTCTCTCTCTGGAGTTCAGGCATTCAAACAGCAGCTACCTCTTCCTCAAGGGTGGGCTGTCTGCTGGAAGCATCCCTGCTGTCTCACATCCCTCTGACGGCCATCTGGTACCCCTGGTGCTCCTGATGCTCTCTTCACACTTGTTTGCACAGCCCTGTTCCCCTGGCACATTCCTTTTCATGCTGGTGGCTCTGCTTTTCCAGGTCACTGCCTGGCTGTTGGATAAGGCAAGGAGGCAGAGGCTGCTGCATTTAAAGTTTCCTCTGTGGTTCCCTTTATTACTAAGGAAGCATTTCCTTTGGAACCAACTCCTGGCCTGGGGCTTGATAAATTAAGAAAAATTGTCTGCAAGCCCTTAAAATAGCAGCGGTTTATGAGCCTGGGCCCGGGCCAGGCTCCTGGGGCTGCCTTTCCCTGGCTGAGGGACAGGAGCTCTGCCCTGCAGCTGGATGTCATGGGGGGAGCAGCCGCCGGGTCCTCCCTCCCACGGTGGCTGCGGGGAGCCGGAGCCCCACCACCGGCACCGGGGTCACCTTAATGTGGGGCACAACACGCCGCAGGCCCCCCGTGCCAGATCCCCTGTGCCAGCCCTCCTGTGCCAGCCCCCTGTGCCAGATCCCCTGTGCCAGATCCCCTGTGCCAGATCCCCTGTGCCAACCCCTGTGCCAGATCCCCTGTGCCAGATCCCCTGTGCCAGCCCCTGTGCCAGATCCCCTGGAGGGACCCCGGGACGAGGCACATGTCTGTCACATGGAGCGGTCCTTGCTGCTGGTCTCACCTGGCACGGGGCGTTGGGGCCGCAGCTCAGCCCCTGCCGAGGGGGTCGCCCCCTCCCCACCTGGCCTCGGGAGCCTGAACGCGTAGAACGCCCTCGGGACCCCGCGGGGAAACAGCGGCGGTACCGGGTGTCCCGGAGCCGGGCGGGGGCAGCGCTGGAAGGGGCTCTGCTCAGCTCGGCACGGCTCATCACGGCTCGGCACGGCTCGGAACAGCCCATCACGGCTCGGTACAGCCCATCACGGCTCGGAACAGCCCATCACGGCTCGGAACAGCCCATCACGGCTCGGTACAGCCCATCACGGCTCGGAACAGCCCATCACGG